AGGACAGCATAAGCCAAATGTATTTCAGCCAACTGCCCATATTTTATAATGGGTGTGCTATCTTCCACTTGACAATACTGTGCTGGTGCAGAAGGCACATGGTCTGCTGCTAGTATCTAGAATTTATCAGTCCACATTTACAATTTATTATATATGCTGTTAAGTATAATAGTATAGAATCCAATCTCTTGCTGCTCTTGCATTCTGTTCTCCTTCTCCCTCCCAAAAATAACCCTGATGCTTTGTGCAAAAAAAAAAGGTATAGATGTATTGTTGAAGGCTTTCATGGCCAGAATCACTGGGTTGTTGTAGGTTTTTTCGGGCTATGTGGCCATGTTCTAGAGGTATAGACTTCGTTAATGCCTTCAAGGAAGTATATAAAGTACTGCCAAATTAGCTTGCTGCAATTAGTAGCTCAGGTTTCACTGAAATGGCAAAAGAAAAACAGCAGCAGTCATTGATGTAGTTAATCATGCTGACTGGGTATGATAAAAACTTGAAGAATATATTGCAAAGACCTTCCAGGAGAGTAAAAGGTCCACTTCTTAAAATGACCTCTGAAATGGTTTACAGCAGCCAACAACTGATACAAAGCTTTTTTCTTTCAAAAAGAGAATGCAACCCACCCTAAAAGAAAATGCCAGATTTTCAATCAATCAGTATCATTAACGAGATGAGTATTTTCATATTGTTTGTGATACAGAGAACACATATAAACAAAGTAAAGTTATTACACCTCCTGGTTGCAGCTGAGCTGGCATACCAGAACTTGGAGAGTTATTTTGAAAGGAGATTGAAGATAGTAACATTCCAAAGTCATCCATAACTAGAAACCAGAACACCATGTTCAGGGTGGCTTCGGTGTGTCACCAAATTCATGCTCATTACATGTAATTTCCCAAGTTCTGGTTGAGACCATCCATAAATGATCAATTTGTTTTCCACCAAGCTAAAAGTATGCTCTTCTGTTTTTTGGTATAACCATTTCCACCCCCACCCCACAAGGACAAGCAGACATGTTGATTTTAGCTTTTCTCCATTTTTCATTTTTCACTCTAGTGCACCACACTTCCATATCAGTGTGTGACAAAAATTGTATGCATGTTCATCTGGCCAAAATCCAATTATTAGTTCCAACAAAGGTAGACCCAGTGAATCACTGTCATATTACATAGGTGTTGATTTATCAGGTTTCACTGGATTGTAATCTATCTGTAACAAATAATTGGATCTAGGTCATATATACCACTCATATAATGATATGTAATGTTTCCCCACAAAACAAGAAAACACTATCACAAAATTCAAAAAGGCAGAAATAACAAAGGATAACTGTATTCTGGTTTATATTGATTCAGAGAGCATTTCATGTTGATATCAAGCCCTATGGTGACTGGCTTAAGGAACTGGGTACTGGGTACATTTATTTTGGATTCAAAGGCAATGTGATATCCATCTTTAAATATCTGAAGAAATGCCATGTAGAACAGTAAGTAAGTTTGTTTTCCATTGCTCCAGAGACTAGAACATAAACCAATGGAGTCCAGTTACAATTTCTGTCACCACTCAGAGGGGTGGCAGGTGAGAGAGAGAGAAAGAGAGGCTCCATCTAAACCAGTGGTTCCCAACTTTTGGTCCTCTGGGTAGGTTGGACTTCAGCTCCCACAATTCCTAACAGCTCCCACATTTCCTAAGATAATTGGGAGTTCTGGGAATTAAAATCTAAAATAACTAGAGGTCCAAGGGTTGTGAACCATTGTCCTAAACATTAAGGAGATCTCCTTGGTGGTAAGAGCTATTTGATAGTAAAATTGCCTACGCAGAGGAGCAGGTAGATTCTCCTAAGTGAAGGTCTTATTACATCTCAGGAGCCTCCTCAGCAAGATAGCTAACCCAGAATAACCCAGAAGATGACCAGAGTGAGAACACCCTTTGAAGGCCACTCAACCTCAAACAGCCAAATCAGTTTAAACCTGGAGGTTTAACCTAATAAGCCACTGTTTTGGTGCCCTTTCCATCCAGTCCTGGAGTACCTGCTGGGAAGAGGGAAAGCCAGACACTGCTTAAAGGCAGCCACTGCTGATCCTTGATCCCTCCATTCTACAACAATCCAGCACAGTAAGCCGCACAGGCGAAATACAAGACAAATTGATGTAATAGTGTGATCATGCACTTTCTCCAGCCCCAAACAAACAACTTTTCTCTGTCTAATTCTTTACTTCTTACAGAAAATTCTAAGAAAGATATTCTAAGCTCCTTCTATTAGCAAAGTGAATATAGCCTTGACTGTTGAACTTCTGCTTGAGGCTAATAGGCCTCCGCTTTGGAGTCTGATTCTCCAATGGCAGCCTAATTGCTCTTTTATGAGAAAGTCCAAGGGCATTCCTTTAAAAGCCTTGCTTTAATATGTCAATGTGTTTAAGGTGTCCCTATGTGTCACTCTGCCTTCCAATATTATTTCTCTCCCTCAAGTATAATTACTCATTAGATAAATAACACTAGCAATAAAAAATGCAAAAGAGGCTTGGGATCAGATTAAGGCAAACAATTAAAATGATGCCATGGTGGTGGTGTGCGTGTGTGTGTGGGGGGGGGGGTGTTTGTTTGTTTGTTTGGAATTGCTTAGGACACAAAGGCTGTGTCAATGAGGATAATGATTGTGCAATCCTTCTTGGTGCTTGTGTGAACACAACATGCATTGCCTCAGCAAGCTTGAAAATAATTGGAAAAATATTTACCATGGGTGCTTCAAAACATTGAGTAGGATTTACAGAAAACTCATGATGTTGGTAATTTGTTGTCTTGTGTTGTTCCTTTTGTATTCCAAGGATAAATGCCCTCTACTAAACAACAACAACATCACGAAGTGGAAACTCATATTTTAAAATTAAGTCAAACCTGAAACTCTGTATGAGACTTCCAGCTGATCTGAGGACCTTTGGCAATTTCAAACTCATGAGCTTCACTGTTCCAAGTAGAATAACGATAGTGTCGGAAATTAAATTGACCCATTTTATTTAAAAAATTTGGAAGGGTGTAAACCTCAACTGTGTGATTGCCACTGTGTCAGAGCTGCTGATGACCTAAGCCATGAATTTAAGGGATTGTGTTGGCAACACTTTATAATAAGTGGCAAAAGATTATTTCTGCCTTTGGTACTCATTATTATAACATTAATTGAGGTGAAAGGTAATCCGTTTTGTATGCTAAATCATGGATCTTCTCTTAAAAGGTTAGCAAACGGATGATGTGCTGCTTGCCTAAATATGTGGCATTCAGGAGGTGATTTGTGTGTGCGTGTGTGCATATGTAAAAGCATTGCTTCGAAGCTGGACAGCAAAGGTGCTACCTCCAGAAAGCTTCCTCAGCAATGCTGAATTTGATACATCAAGTACTAGAATGAATCAGCCAGAAGGAGACAAACATTTTCTAGTTCATACTATGCCAGGTTACCCATAGTCAGCTTTCTACAAGATCCTCAGTCCTGCATTTATCTCCATATTTGAGTTGGACGTTCAATACAGGGGAGGATGGGGCAAAAATCCTAACTTTGCATATGCACCAATGTGCTTTGATGTTAAGATCCCATTTAATACCCACAAAACTAAATAGAAATATATTTACACTGAGGTCCTGGGGCCAATGGCTGCTACCTCAATAACAGTTCAACAGAGATCTCCAAGCACATAATCCTAGTGAATCAATGGCCATTTGGCTGAGGAAACAGTAGAATCTGGCACCCTTTTCCAAGTACTGAGAAACCATTACACAAGGAGGAGATGGATATTTCCTTGCATAATGCTGGAAAATGTTGTTTACCTAGCATAACCCCTACTCCTAAACCTTTATTCTCCAGATATTTTTTGGACTTCAACTCCCAGAAGCTTCAGCTCACTTTGGTCAATGGATGAAGTCCAAAACACTTGGAGGACCAGGGTTAAGGGACCGTTCCTTTAGAAGATGGGAGGACTGAGACTAAAATAGTGGTGCTTGTTGAAGGTCACCCCGTAAGTTCACAGCATAGGTAAAGTTCAGACCAGGGCATTTCTGCTTCACACTGTGCAAGGTTTCTATTTCAATCCTTCTTCTTGTCAAAAAGCAAGTAATACTTGTGGTGCAATGCAATGCACCACACTATATATTTTAAAAGAAGTCTAACATTGATCTAGCACTGATTCTGTAAGCTGGACTGCACCACAGTGCCATGAGAACCTTAAAGCAGGGGGTTTCCTAAGCATCTGCCATTCAGACAAATAAATTCGTTGGATTCAACTAATCTTAATCTTGACATTCTACAATACTATCTTTTGAGAACAGATAAAAGGCATTATCTCCCTTCCGCCCATCACCACTACCCATCCTGAAAAGGTGAAATTCAAAGAGCTGGTAACTCAGAAGACTGTGTCATGCCAAGATGGGAAAGCCAAACAACAAATGCACTTGAAATCTTGGATTATGAGCTTATTTGTGGAATTTGGATTTAGAAAACAGAATGTGATGTATGTAAATTAGTACGGTCAACCCGCTCCACCCCATATCTACAGATTCTGTATTCATTGTTTTACCCATTAATGGCTTGAAATCCCTGATGTTGCCATTTGATAAAAGGGACACTATTTTATTACGCCACTTGAGCACCCACAGATTTTGGTATCCATGGGGAGGGGGTCCTGGAATCAAATCCCAGTAGATACCAAGGCCCTATTGCATTTCTTCTCCAAAAGTGAGAAAATACTTTAAAGGGTTTCTCCGCAGTTCAAGTAAGAGAAACTACCAGGGAGTTAGAGTCATTAATTGGAGCCAGTCTAAAGACTAGAAAAGCTCAAATGCAAAAGATTACTACCAGTCACCAGTGAAGGCTGGTTGCAAGAAACAGAAATCCTGGGGAGCTGCTGGGAGATTTGTGGACAGCTGTCTCAAAACAACAAGTGCTTAATTAATGGCTGTCTTCGATTTACCAGCTGTTGGGTTGATGTAATCCCTCTCTGTTTCTTTGTCAGTTGGCAAAGGATGAGAACATGCCTTCAGGATCATCAACATCTGTGACCTCGTGGTGTGGAACAAGCTCTCTCCCCCTCTATCTCAGCTTCCAGCTTCAGAGAGACTGCCATCATTGGAAACTGCACATTCCCAGACATCCAACTCCTTCATGCCTGAATGGTCAAACTCCAAAGGGTGAGTTATGGCACTGGAGATATGTGATCAGAAATAGAGTCAAGTACAATTGGTTAATAGTGGGGAAGAATCTATAAAAACTGGGACTAGGAGATAAATCCAAAGCATACGAGAAATGAGGTTCAATAACTGGATCACCCCTCACTTCCAGCTGGAACCTATCAGCAGGCAGAAGTTGTTCAGGAAAGTGTACAGTTGCAAGATCCTAGTATATAGGGCTATGTGTACCAGAGAGCATATCCTGACCTATCTTAGCAAGGTGCAGTGGAGGATGCTGTTTCATTAGAGGAGTTTATACAGATTCATCTTCTCCATTGCATGTGAAATGGAGAAGGCATCGATTAGACAGAAATACATATTGTATCAGGCTTTTTCAAGGGGTAGTCAGAGGCCCCAGAAGTTTTCTAATCAGATGAAAACACTTTTGGCTTACCACAACAATTTTTCTGAATTTTTTCTCAACCAGGGCATTGCTCCTTTTTGTCCTTGCCCCCTTTTTCCTATAAGAATTGTGCAACTCCAAGATTTCAATCTATCTCATGAGACTTTGTATAATCTCTGAACAAGTTCTCAGTTGCATAGCTAATCACTTCTGCATTTCCCCAGTATACTAGAAATATTCCTACAAACACTGAAAGTATTAATAAAAAATAAAGATGCATTTTGCAATTACCAGCCTTTTTCTATTTAATGTATTCTGTGGGGGCAGGGTGGTTGTCAAATCTTTTTTAAGGCTGCAGGAGCATGCATAAGCTGATTTATTTATTTTTTTGCAAAACGGACACTGCAAGTCTTTCAAACAGTAAGGACATGCTTAACCAACAAGGGAAATATATATATGCTAGGAATTGCCTATAAAACTGCACCACACTTTAATTAGAAATAATATTTAAAAGGAAGCAAACAGGGCAAAAATGGCAACTTATGGCTTTGCAACTGTAGGTCCTCTCTAAGCTCTTACTTGAAGTGGAATGGCCAGCAGTTTGTGGATGGGGAAACGAAGCAAAGTAAAATGCCATCCACAACAATATCTGTTTGCCTTAAACTCTCTGCAGAAGCACTTTTGGCAGATTGCATCACCTCAACACACTTTGGAAGCACTTTCTGCAACCTAAAAATGGAAGTCCTCTGTTCATTGAAAAGAAAAGCCTAACAATTTCTTGCAAATTTGTTTGGGGTGAGTTTAGAACAACATCGTACGATTGTGATCATTTCCACTCATGGTTAGGTAGCTTCTATCGCATGCCACAAGCCTCATGCAATAATATCTGCAGACAAAAGTCCTTTCCAGTCCTCCCTGGAAGATGTCAACATGTGCTCTATTCTACCACTGAGCTATGATACTTTGACTATGAAGGCGTGGGTGATTCTTTGTTTTTTACATTCCTCTTAAGTCTTTCCACACAGATGGTACCATTCTGAACATCATGAAACCACTGTCTTCCAGATGTTTTCAGCTCAAACAATGCAAGTCAGATGTGCATAGCAAATTACTCAAATCAGCACTCACCACTCCAAATTCCTATACACTTTTTTGAACAAGCATCTGATTCAATTAACCGTGAACAAAAATATTTTTCTAGCATCAGAATATTCCTCCTTACAAGATTTCTATCAAAAGTCATCAGGACACTCTAGTGAAACAGTCCAAACCATTTCCATTACTTTAGTGAAAGGAGGATAAAATGTCATGCTAATTTCCTTTTTTATTCGAAAAGGGTATGTTCCCTTTTGGAACAAGGAGTATCTCTAAAGACAACTAAAGAATTAATAAACCATCATATATTATGCAGTTATTTCAGCTACCGCCTTTGTCATTCTGTTTTATTCCCCTATTCAGTATTTGAAAATATCTATCAGGATTTGTAAGACAAAACACATATTTTGCCATTGGGTTAATCCAACAAAATGGAAATAAAGTTTGAGTGCTTCCATTTATACATATGAGATTAGGGTTCCCCCTTCTGTTTCTCTCCACCTTTCTCTTTCTCCCCTTGCTGCATCCTCACCTTGTTGTGATGAGCAGGCCTGTGCATTCCAATGAACCTTTGAGCAAAGCCATCATGTGCTCCCAGCAAGGCCACCTATGGTGGTGGAATCATAGGGGAAGAATAAGACCAAGAGCAATCTGAAGACCTCAGCAGCAGAGCAGGTGAATGATAACATGGTGCATGTTACAAAAGCTGTGAAGACGAGTTAATGCTGAAATAGATATGAGGTCGCCAATTGTCGGTGTAACCATGCCATTAGATCAGAACCTCTTTCTGTGAATACTGTGTGTTGGTCATTGTGCACTGATATCCACAAATAAAACAATTCACACACACGGGTGTCTTCCAAGCAAATCAAAACCAACAGAATTTCCATGGTGATCTGCAAGTGGCAACGGGGGCAAGATTGAGAAATCTGGAAGCTCCTAGCCATGGACCAGCACATGCATAGTGGATATGGATTCAGTCATTCTAACTAAAGATCTGAGGTAGTTGAGCAGTTTGGCAGCTGTTTCCATGTCTAAGCAGCCCTATTTAGGATCCACTCTGCTCATCTCATTCGAGGAGGAGGTTAGAAAATGTGCCCTAAATATAGTCTTCCTTTTTAATCTATCCCTAACTGAACTCTCATATTCAAAGGTGTCATTACCCTACAGTCAAAAAAGACAAATTAATTTTGGAACCTGGAACAAATGGACACTGTTGGATAACACAGACAATGAGCACCCTGAACATAGGACTGCCATTATTGTAAGGGCCAGTTCCAGCAAGATATCAGAGACCAACTTGCAAACAAACTTAAAAGTGCCAACGCTGTTCATGCATTCAGTTTATTTGCATGAATAGCATATGATATAGAAGTTGAAACCTTGCATAAAAATCACTATTGTGGCCTGGAAAATTCCTACTGGTAAATTTCCACTTCAGAAACAGTAACAGCAGAAATCAATACAGAATGGACCCCTTTGCTTGACACTAATCACATCCACACCGTACTGCCATGCTCTGTTTTACAGAAGTGGATTCCAACATATTGTCAAGTTTAATAGAAAGTATGGGAACCTTGAAGAATGCTGGCATTCATCAATTCATGTGAAAACCAACCTAGTTACTTCGACAAACTATCACCACTGCATCCTTCTTCCCATTGTTATTGTAGTGGTTTGTTTTTTTTGCGTTTAAAAAATATTTTCAAGCTATGGATGATTAAATTGGTGTATACAGAATCCATGGATACAGAGGGTCAACTGTAGTGCCAAAAAAAAACACCTGCATTTTTTCCATTCTCATTGTATATGATTCAAAAGCTGTTGCTGTTCAAAAATATTGCAAAGGTAAAGAATATTTGGGTGCAATTCGTGTTAGTAGGGTGTAAGATTTGTGTGTGTGTGTATGCACATGTGTTTACCCTATTTACCAGAGTTTTCTAGATGTTGTTCCTTCTTTACATGATCATTGCTCAATGGTCTGCAGCCTCCACGATTTGCATGGTTCAAGTCAAAAGGAAGAGCACAGATATATCCACACTTCAGAATTTGTTTGACTCCACATTAACTGTCATGGCTCAATGTTATGAAATTCTGGAATTTGTAGTTTTGGAAGATATTTACCATTTTCTGTCAGAGGCGGCTTAATCTAGATCAGAATGTAAATTAAAGAGATCCAATTCCACTCCTGAGAGTCCAAGCCACCCTGAGAACTGCAAAGAAGTTCCCATGGCATCCACAAAACTATCCTCATGCTGAATTAATCCAACATGCAGAAATATTTTCTTTCTTACCCAGTTGGGAAAAATGCACTGAACAGAAGCATCCCATCCAATAACAATCAGCAATGGGAATCTTGGCAAGGGGAAAACAAAACAAGGAAAACAATATCTCTTATTGGAAATGTGTTATTCACCTTCCCGAGAGGCCCATGTCGAGTTCCTTGATACTTCATCTTGTTGACRGGAAGCTTCCCACCRGAGTGGAAATTATCTATYGGACAAATGGCAAGCTGTTTAACTTCAGCAGACTGAAAGCCAAAACCAAGGTTACAACAACATCTGTTATAGAACTCCAGTATGCTGATGACAAGGTCATCTGTGCGCATTCAGAAGAAGATCTACAAGCCACTCTAAACACCTTTGCAGAAGCATACRAGAAGCTCGACCTGTCATTGAACATCGAGAAAACCAAAGTGCTGTTCCAGCAGTCACCASCCGATCCCTTTCCAAWGCCAGAGATACMGCTTAATGGTGTAACATTAGAAAATGTTGACCTTTTCCACTACCTTGGCAGCCACCTCTCCACCAAAGTCAACATCGACACTGAAATACAACACCGCCTGAGCTCTGCGAGTACAGCATTTTTCTGAATGAAGCAGAGAGTGTTTGAGGACTAGGACATCCGTAGGAATACCAAGGTGCTTGTTTATAAAGCTATTGTCCTCCCAAYCCTGCTATACACCTGTGAGACGTGGATTGTCTACAGACGTCACATGCAACTCCTGGAATGATTCCATCAGCGCTGCCTCTGGAAAATCCTGCAAATCTCTTGGGAAGATAGGTGGACAAACGTCAGCATGCTGGAAAAAACAAAGAACACCAGCATTGAAGTGATGGTCCTCCGCCATTAGCCCGCTGGACTGGCTATGTTGTCCGGATGCCCGACCACAGTCACCCAAAGCAGTTGCTCTACTCCAAACTCAAGAATGGAAAACTGAATGTTGGTGGACAGGAAAAGAGATTTCAAGGTAGGCTAAAAGCCAACCTGAAAAACTCTGGCATAGACACCGAGAACTGGGAAGCCCTGACCCTTGAGCGCTCCAGCTGGAGGTCAGCTGTGACCAGCGGTGCTGCAGAATTTGAAGAGGCACGAATGCAGGGTGAAAGAGAGAAATGTGCCAAGAGAAAGGCGTGTCAAGCCAACTCCGACCGAGACCGCCTTCCACCTGGAAATCAGTGCCCTCGCTGTAGGAGAAGATGCAGATCAAGAATAGGGCTCCACAGCCACCTACAGACCCACC